AAAAAAAAAAAAAAAGAACCAGGAAGTAAAGTAATGCAAATAAACTAGTGGTATAAACTAAGGGCAGTTCAAAGGGGCATTGTTTAAAATTTAATTGTTTTGGGGGAGGTAACATCTGTCCCAAGAGAAACGAAACCCTCGTACACCAAGCAGCAAGAAACGTTTTACAAGAAGGCCCTGGTAAACTGCTCGGAGTTACTCACACAGAATTTTCCAGAGCAAGGATCCCACAGCCTCCGGGCAGGACCACGAGGCGTCCCTCTGACTTCATCCTATTCCTTTCCCCAAACCACTTCAACACCCTTCAGAAACTGCCTGGAACCCAGTAGAGTCCAGAATGAGTGGTGGGAGGGACCGAGGGACCTAAAGGGAGTATTGCAGGGACTGCCTTTATTTCCACTTCATACCTGAGGAGGAAGGGGGTGAGGGTCTTCTTCCTTAATCTGCAAAGACCCCAGGCCCTCCGAAGCCTCAGCCGCAGCCTCAGCCGCAGTCACCGATGCTACTGCAGTAGCCGGAGTCAGTGTCACATCCCGGACCCCGCGCCTCCGCAGAGGCCTTTGTTTACGGAAGTGACGTAAGAGGGCGGTGTTTCTGCGCAGCGTGCGGGAACCTCTCCCCTTCCGGCTCCACCAGCGTCTCTCCCGTCTCCGCCTTTGGAGCCTCATTTCTTCCCCGGTCTGAGTTAACTGAATTTTCGGTGGGCCTGGAAAGAGGACCCATTCCTCGGATTTTGTCTTGGGACCTTCATCCCAGAGGCAGGAGAGGCTGGGCTGGTGGTGGAGGCAGGAATGGGAACTGCAGTACCTTTCCGGAAGCTGCCCGCCCCCTCCCCTTTGGGCAGCTGCCACGCACTACAATCCCCACTGTGCTATTCGACCAAGTCTGGGGGCGGAACCATCGTGTCGCCAAGGCAACGGTTCCTGGTGGGTTTCCGACACTTGGCGGGAATTGGTTAGGTGAAACAGCTTTGGTTTGGAAGGCAATGTGGAAAGCGGGATTCCTTTCAACCACGCCGACGCTGAGTCCCTAAATTCTGTTATTGCTATTGATTTAATAGCTACTCTGCGCAGGCACGAGGTAAATGACCTCTAAACCTCACTACCGTTCTATAAGGTAGGTATGATAACCCTGTTTTAGAAATGAGTAACCTAACGCTCAGAAAGTTTATTATACTCAGTCTCATGGTCACTAAGACTGTTCCTCACTAAATACTGCCTCTGGAAAAGGAACTGTGAGTTGAGAGAGATGGAGCTGTTGTAGACGAGGGAAGAAATTCATGTTTCATTACCTAGTCTGGATAGTTTTCCCAGTGTTAGGGTTGAAAACGGTTTAGATTCATAGACCGTTAGGTTGAAGAGACTCTGGAAAACACCACTTAGTGCTCCCCACGTTTTCTGATGCGGTTACCATATCTAGAGATTATCACAGGAGCAGAGCAAAGAGCAAAGATCTATCCATGCATCCTGACATAGTATAGAATGTTCTTCCGCCGTCACCACGCTACCTTTATTAAAGTTATGAAATGTTTTTAGACCGGCAAACATTTATCTACCCAGTATCCAGAATAAACATGTTTTGTCATTTTGTATTTTTAAGTGAAAGAATACAACAGGTAAAGTGGGTGATCCCTATTCTCAGTTCCATCCTACTTCTCTGCTCATTAACCAGGCACAAATTTAATTGGAATCTTCCTAATCTAGCTTTTCGTATATTCACCGCTACTATGTATTTATAAACTACACAGACTGGCTTTGGACTTATGAAATTTTACATGAATGCTTTCATGTTCTATAACTTTTTTTTACCCCAATTCTATGTTTTTGATAAGTGTTTCATTGAGGCTTCTGACAGACTTCATTGGTTAAAACTACAGTGTTTTATTCTGTGAAATACCTTTGCCACATATATGGGACATTTCCATGGTGATGGGTCTTTAGATTTTTTTTCCTGTTTTCACCAGTGATTTTCATAATGCTGTAGTGTTTTAATTTTTTCAAATTTCCTTGAAGGCATGACTACTAAGTGAAATAAATCGGAGCAAGATAAATACCATATGATCTCTTATATGTGGACTCTAAAGAAAAATCTAAGTTCGTAGATAGAGACAACAGACTGGTGGTTGCCAGAGGCAGGGGATCAGGAAAGATGGGTGAAAAGAATCAAAGATAAAACAGAAGAAAAGCAAGGGAGTTGTGCTCGTTGACATATTTTTCTTTGTAGCTTTCTCTAATATAGATGATCCTGCTAGTATTTATGAATTACAGGTATATAAACAATTACTGTAAACACTTTAAAGAAGCATTTTTGAACCTGCTAAAAACTTAGGGCCATGCCATAAACTAAAATGATGGTCCATAGCTATTGGGTTAATTAATTGGTTGATTGCCTAATCAGTTGGTTTATAGTATATTTTCATAAAAATTGGAAAATGAAAAAATGAATCTTTGACATCCCAGGAATTCTAGCCACACTAGCTCTGCATTGTAGTCTAGCAATAATAGTTGAAGCTGAAGAGCACCTGCCTCCCTTACATCAGTTCAAATCTACTATCTAGGACCCTTTGCCTTTAGTACCCATCTGAACCCTGTGGCATTTTCAATTACAACCCATAGTAAAGTATAAAAAGGTATCCTTCCAAGTATACCCCTCTCAGGTACTCAAAGGTATGTATTGAGACCCTATTTTCATCAGAAACTGTCTTGGGATGTCAGGGTACATCCATTAATGAGATGGGTGTGAGCATTATAGTTAAATATTTCATATTTTTGAAAAAGGGATCAGGCAATAAATTAGTAGAGAAGTAAGACCACTTCATTTAATGGTAAGTGCACCTAACAGCCAAAAGTCATAGGGAGTTATTGTATAGTTTGGAGTATTGAAGAGGGTGAATTAACAAAAGCCTTCATTGAAATATGAATGAAGTACAGGAACAGCAATGGAATAAGCTGGTGAAGAATATCCTTGGACTAAACATATGTCCAAGGCACAGCCTTTAAAAGGCACAGATGAGCTTGATTGTTTAACGAAGCAAGGGGTTAGTGTCACTGAATCGTACTAGTTGAGTGTCATGAACTAGAGTCACAGTAGTTTTGAGTGTGATTTCTTTTACCTGAAATATGTAGTTCCTCCCTGAAAGAAATTTTGTTTTTTGAAACTTACTAGATTTGCCTTTAAATTGCAAAAATCCTTCCTTTGGGTTAATTGTCAAATGCCCACCTGGTGTAGATTACTCTGATAAGCTACTTTCTTCCTACGGACTGTATTCAGAGGATGGGACCTTAGACTGACGGATCCCTGCCAGCATTTATATATTCTCTAGCTTGAGCAGGCAAAGAGGAGTGCTGGTGAGTAAACCTCCTGGTATTCATAGTGATGCAAACATACATTGCACTAGGCCCGCTGATCTAGACTCTCTGGGAATCCAGGAATCTCTTAAAAAAAAATTCTTATGTAAAATTTCAAATATACCAAAGAGAACAGAATAATAGTCTCCATATATACAAAATCCAGATACTGAGTCATGGCTAATCTTGTTTCATTTAATCTTCCTCCCACATTTCCCCCACTCTAGTAATAACATTGAAACAAACCCCAGACATCAATAAGTCCATATTTCAGTATGGAGCTTTAGAAATTTAAGTATGATTTTACTATTATTCCTAAAACAGCCACAATTAAATACCCAGTAGGGATCAGATTTCCAATAGTATTAGAAGTATCATCGTTTTTTTCAGATTTGATTTGAGTCAGGAATATTTTCAGGTGCTTCAGTAATGTATGTATTAGTATAGCCTGATTTGTTGAGCTTCAACCATGCATTGTACTTCCTCAGAAGAAATTTCCACAGTAACAGTCAGCTGAACCCAAAACAAATACATATTCCAGTGTCTGGATAATTTATCACCTTATTGTCCCCTGTTGTTCTTTTAGGGGAAAGGTTTTTGGTTTTCATTTTGCTTTTTGTAGTTATTCCTCCATTTCGTTTTCCTCCCATGCAAATGCCTAGGCTAAGATCCATCAGGTTTCATGCTTTTTTGCACACCTGGCTTAAGAAGAAGCTAGTGAAGAAGCCTAAGGCAGAAAGGAGCTTGCCGCATTCGTGGAACTGAAAGAATACCGGGTCAGGATTTCTTGTCTAGTCTGAGGCCTACCTTATGCATTACTGAGGGGCCCAAACATAATCACAGGCCCTTATAATTATGTGTTCTACTGCTGACTACCTTGGAAAAACAAATACTGGATAAATAACAGACTTGAAAGTCACAAAGACTTTCAAAATTTACAAAATTCTTTATATGGTCTCTGATAAATTCATCTTCATGAGACTGTGTTTCTTGAGGGCAGCTAGCATATTTCATTTGATTTTGTAACTTAAGCATAGAACATGACAACAATCTATGTTATAAATGAACGAAGTTCTCTGACTTTATGCTCTGAAAGTAATTTACACAATCCCTCTTTAAACCAAATTCCAAAGATCTGGGCCCCAGAACAAGAACTTTGTTTTTAACTTGGCAATTTTGTTTTGAATTAAGAACTTATCCTTAACTTAGAAAAATCGGTGATCGATTATTTAGAAACTTAATATTTCAGTAGTTTCAGTTTATGATTTTGCAAAATTGATGTTTTAATGTAATTTCACATTCACATTTCTTTTCCCAAGGCCAGGAGTAGTCAACAGGATTAGGGAATAGTTATCAGCAAGATATATGAATGATTCATCTTTCCAATATCCCTAGTTCTCATAGGAACACTCCAGCTTTAGAAAGTATAGGCTTACCTAGAAAATATAATAGGGCCCTCCCTGGTTGTACAGCAGGTTAAAGCTCATCACTGTGAAGCTGTCGGCAGCCACTGCAGTGTGGGTTGGATCCTTGGCCAGGGAGCTGACCCACATGGCATGGCAGACCTTTCCTGTCTTGCCTGCTGCTCCGCTTGGCAGTGTATTTCAGTGCATCTGCCTGCTCTGCTCCCCACTCTGTCTCTGCTCTGCTCCCTACTCTGCCTCTCTGGTGGAAAGGCAGGAGGAGGAAGAGAGGGAGGAAAGAAAGAAGGAAAGGAAGGCAAAATGGTTACCATCAACACTGTTTATATCTCTAACAAAGGAGTTTTAAAATGTTACTTAAAACTGAAACTGTTTTAAAGAGTTGCTACAGTTCCTGCTAGTGGGGAAGTAAATATTTATGTAGGGACAAGAAAAGTAACAAGACTCTACATTGATGTCCCGTTGATGTCCCGTGTGTGTCTTAAAAAACAACAGTGAGAGTTGAATAAGTTCAAGTGGACAGAAGGGTGGATTTGGGGATATGAGATTGAGAAAGCTGAATTCTCTGTATAAAGTGGAAGGCATAGTTCACTGGGGGAAGGGTAGAGGTTGGAAAATGGTAATGAGTGAGCAAAGAGGATCAGGGAGGAGGAGTTAAAATGGGTATTTTTTTTTAAAAGAGCAATGAAATCTTTCTCAATTTGTAATCACCAGCATTGCTGTAATTGTACACACACACACACACACACACACACACCTCTTATTCTTCCAAACATCAAGATGAATCCCCTGCGCACTGCTTTGTGTACATGAACCATTATGAAAGGCAAGGAAAAAGCTTTGTGCTGCACTAGCTTGAGAGAGTTGATAAAGCTTGGGCATATGTGTATGCCAGTAGAGTAGTCTATAACCTGAACTATGTCAGGTGCAGTAGGAGCTAGAATCCAAGGTGAATGGAAAAATTAAAGCCACATTCTGTCTATGAAAAGGAGAGATT